AGAATCACTACAACATTGCCAGAACCTTAAGCGTCGTCAGCAACGGACAAAAGTGGGACAATGTCCCTTTCTCAGCTTTTATTGAAGGTCTCACTAAGCTCCAGCCTCGGTACTATTCTATCTCATCGTCTTCGCTGGTTCAACCTAAGAAGATATCCATTACTGCTGTTGTTGAGAACCAGTTAATCCCCGGTCGTGCTGATCCCTTCAAGGGTGTGGCTACCAACTACCTGCTTGCTCTCAAACAGAAGCAAAACGGCGACCCTAACCCTGAGGCATTCGGACTCACTTATGAACTTAACGGACCAAGGAACAAGTACGACGGTATTCATGTGCCTGTACACGTTCGCCACTCGAATTTCAAATTGCCCTCTGACCCATCTAAGCCCGTCATTCTTATCGGACCTGGTACTGGTGTCGCACCCTTCCGTGGGTTTGTCCAGGAACGCGCAAAGCAAGCCGAGTCTGGAGAGAATGTCGGTCGTACGCTACTTTTCTTTGGTTGCCGAAAACAGAGTGAAGATTTCATGTACAAGTCAGAATGGGAGGTATGTATAACGCCAGTATTAATATCAGCCCTAGCTCACACTTCAGTAGGATTACAAGAATACCCTTGGTGACAAGTTCGAGCTGATTACTGCATTCTCACGAGAAGGGCCCAAGAAGGTATACGTGCAACATCGACTAAAGGAGCGAGCTCAAGAGGTCAACGAATTACTTGAGAAGAAGGCATATCTCTACGTATGTGGTGATGCCGCAAATATGGCCCGTGAAGTCAACACCGTGTTGGCCCAGATTATTTCAGAGAAACGCGGCGTTTCCGAGTCGAAGGCGGAGGAGATAGTCAAGAATATGAGAGCAACGAATCAATACCAGGTAGGTCATGCTATTACATCCCCCACGACAGCCTACAAGATACTTGTCTTTTCGTCCTGCATTTCTACCCGCGTCTTCAACACTCTTTGTTCATAACACTAACTATGATTACAGGAGGACGTCTGGTCGTAAGAACTGGTGGAGATGTAATGTGCTTTTTAATGCATGACGGGGTGAGCGTTGCGGATAGATGGAATTGCATAGGAGAGGTTCACTGCTAGCCTTGCCTTGGAGTCAGGGAGATGTGACTTTTATTGGTTTGGGCTGCACGCTGGCACGATCTCGGTTTGGTATCAATGCGCGCCCTATTGCGGTTCCGCGCGCTCTATTCGTATATATATTGGAAGCTACGTAATGATTTCTATAGATTGAGTTAAACATTTAAGCTGAACTGTCGCCGTGAAAATCCCGAATGCCCCTATATAATAGTAGCTTGAATTCCCGGCTCTGATTCACGTATTAGTTATTAACTTGTAACACATTTTCTCACATCTCATGTAGATGAACCAGGTAACATGTGGAAATCCAACCCTTTCCAAATTATCTACTCAGCCAGGTCTAGGCCATTCAGTCGACCACATATGGTACACATGGGGTATGGTAAGTAATTAACCAATAATAAATCATATTCAGCCTCGGCAATAGTGTCATGAATTATAGGATCTATGTAGGTAAGAACTATATTCTATATGCCGAGATGGTTTAAACGTACTCCCTAGCCGCCCCATTTTGACCCCTCTCCTACTCCAGCCCTCTTCGGCAGTACCTAAATTAAGAATTGAAGATTACAAAGGCATCTTGCTAAGCTAGGGACCATGGATGATTAACAGTAACATCAATATCGATAAAAATAGAAAGCAGACTGTCATTAATATTACAAATTCGTATGTTAGGTAGTTTAGGATCGACAATGTTACAGGGTGTTACTAATCGTCGAATTCTCCAACAGCTTTAAGACCTTAAAATATTCAAAGCCATTTTGTCCCCTGGAATATTAAGATGTAGATTGATACCTGTTTATCTTAAAATAAATATATAAAAATAACAACGTGCTACAGATGCCAGAAAATCGGGGACTTACTTGGTCTTAATAGCTATAAACCACCATATCCCGTGGTGAAATTCATAAATACTTAGTATTATGATCACTCAGAACTTTGTATAGTCTTTCCTACATTATAAGGCAGTAATCAAGATAAAATCGTCTAGTCTACATATTACTCTGTTGCGTCATCCGGTAAGAATACTACCAAGGCAGTTCCTCCATCTCACAACATAAACAATAAATTATGTTGGATGTTTGTTTGTGAATATGGGTGGCAAAAGGTGTATATAAAGCCCTGTGTACATCAAAGGGGGAAGCTTGGTTCGGAGCTCAAACAAAATATTGGTTGTAAATCATGTATCTCTCACAGAGGTTTAGATGAACCATTTTATAGGTAGGTATAGGTAAAGGTATTGTCTATCAAAGAATACTAGCCTCAGGGGCATGCCTCTGGTAGATCCTATATAAACCCATCTCTACCGTCTCTTTTAACAACAAAAGTCCCCGAGGTTTCTCTCAACGTTGAATTAGGTTGCGCTCGTCAATCATATGTCGAATAATGTATACAGATAACAGTGGTGGGCTATGATGTCTATAGAAATGTTATATACATGGGCGTGAGTAATTGTAATACGAGGGGATATGTCGCCTAAAACAACACCCTCTGTGTTAGCAATCTGGTCACGTCTGTCATTGAAAATACTAACAGAGATATCTGTAACTGGTCAGGTTGGTTGTCCCCTTCATATTTTGTCATGCACGTAGAATAAAACCAGCCCCTATGTGTATCGTATTATTAAAGTCAACATGTATGGAAACGCGACAACGCCAAGTAGAGAGACTCCTAAAATGAGAAGGGAGTTGATAGTCAACTACACAGCTGGGTAACACATATGTGGGTAATAGTGACATTTTAGGTCACTATGTGATCTTGGATAGAAATATTTGAAGGTGTTTAATCAGGGTATCAACATGTGGCCTTCACGTGCATGTAGTGATTTACCCCGGTATTTGGGTTTGGCTAGGTACCTATTCTTCTTGGGAAAGAAAGTTGAAGGCAAGTGCGATTCCCATAAGGACGGCAACATATCCGAATTGCGGCCAAGAAGCAGCATCCATGTGTAGCTGAGTACATGTACTTAGGTTAGGTAATTATATGTAAGTCGACACCTGCCCATCTAAGTCAAGAGGCATCGCCGTCACGTAGCAACCAAGCCCGAACTATTGATGGTATTACATAACATAGTTTGATAGCTTAGGTTATGTACCTTAGATCTATGAGCAGGTTTAAGACTAATAGGTAACTGCCTATACTGGCCCATGCATAATTGTATGTTAAATGTGTATATTTTAGTTGTCACCATCTACAAACATCGTCAACACCTTTATGAATATTACGACAACGAAGTACAAGAAGTGCGTTTGTACACTTTTAGTAGATACCTTTAGTAAACAACTAATAGGTAGTAAATTGTAGGTGCGTCTCTATACTGATAACAAAAAGTATACACATCTGTATATCGTTTATCAGTATACCTATGTGTCTATTTGATACTCAACCCTTAAATTTTTTTTTCACTACCTAGAGTGCGTGTATTAGGTACCTACCTACATATTTCCCATCTTAGAAGAATATGAGGCTGATTTTATCTTAGCAATATGCGTAGCAACACACCTAGTAACGCACATCGCATTTCTATTTAACTTCGGTTACTTCTTACATCATTCAGATTATTTCTTTCTACTCAATAATAATTACGTGCTGCGCCAGTCTTTCAAATCGCGAACGCGGGAACACCACACACAGGCACAACCATATTATTATTATACCTTGTCCCTTCTATCTCTTTCCCGTCTCTCGTCTACCTTGCAATCATTTTTTTAGATTGTTATCTCTGGTCGGCACATCCTTACATAATATCCTTACTTTACGTCTTCAACTACCCCTTCGAAAGCATCGCACCTTCAGTATACATGTGTGTTTAGGTTCAAAGATCCCTGTATTACTTACGCCTTCCCGACTATACTCTGAAGCCTGTGTAACTGCCTTTGAACAACTCAAACCTTGTGGTTCATTCCTCACCTTCTGAGTTATATACCAGCAGGTAAGTACAACTACCTTTCTCTCTCTCGACAACTAACACTCTTCATCTGTCATGTGTTTCCTTTCTCTCCTCTTCTTTTCATTTGGTTCCACAGCATAACATCCACTCATCCAAGCACACGCATCACCACAATCTCTTCTTTCTCCCATCTTGCTCTCTAGCTACTCTATTTTACTCGGACCCGCTCGCTTCATCACAATCCTCTTGGTACTAACAGTATTGGCATTACCAGCCAGATTTCCCAAGGTTGGTTTTGTCTCTGCTGTTTCGTGATGATTACTTTTGACTACAGCCTTCACGTCTTATCATTCTACCTCTTCTTAGCCCTTGACGATACAGCACGACGCAAGGCAACGCGATGTCATCGTCCACTAGACAAATCTTTACCACACCAACACCCCATACGGCTACCGACAACTCCCATAACCTATTTCATATTTCCTCATATCAATATTTTCTTGGTGCTTTTCCTCTACATTAGATCGATATCGCCGTGCCCTCTATACTATCCTTATTTCCTCTTCTACTTTACCACTAACGTCATGAAGTGCAAGCCTCCTTTTTTTCAAATTTCTTTTGCCTTTTCTAACTTGACTTCACACTGACTATTATTATTATTATTATCAGGTTCTAACTGTTCTTACCATCAGACTTGGTCGAGTTAATTCTTGTACAAGGTATGTATCAAGCCCTTGCAAGGTCTAGTCACTCACTTGTGTGTTTACACCACGAATTACTTACACGTCTGTCAACATCACATATTCTTCATCTAACTCATCATACTCCTCACCTCTTATTCAGCCCTGAATCAACATATGTTTCAAAAATTCGCAGTCATGAATACCTACCTGTTTCTCCTTTTACTTAACTAACATGTTTCTTTTCGCCTTTGCTACCATATATTAACTTCTTTGAGTCCTGCTAACAAGGTATATTTCTACAGAAGTCTATCGAGTTATTCTACTCCAAGCATCATGCATCACGACAACGGTGCACCCGTTCGCGTCAACACCCCCGAGGAACCGACCTCTGGTATTCACCAGGCTGCCCAGGCTACTGGCTCTCACGACTGTGCCAACATGAACGGTTCTCAGAGCCACACAGTTGTTGATGCCAACATGAACGCTATTCTTCACCAGTTCGGCGGCCTTGGCATTAATGGCCTTCCCCCTATTCCGGGAATGATCCCCATGGCGACCCCTGACGGCCGCATTGTGCACGTTGCTGCTAACTATCCGACTCATACTGTCTCGGCTCCCGGAGTCCAGGCATCTGGCATTCCTACCTTTGGTTATCCATCCACTCAACCTGAGGCTTATCCGGGCCCTTATGGCGGTCCTTACTATGCTCATGGAGGTTTTCAGCATCACCCTATGCTTGCCCTTTCGCCTTACACTCCGGCGCGCACTAGCAGCGCACGAGAGCACACTGACACCAGTTCTCGAGATGTTCCGGGCCTGGATATTCGCCGTTCGTCTTATTCGACTAATGAATCTACCCCGGCTACACCTTTCCTTGGAAGCATGACGTCTCGAGACCAGGGTGCTCGTGTGACGGTATTCGACCGATCCACCTATACAACTCCCTCGCCCCACCAGATCGTGGCTGCCGAAGCTCCTCAGGAGCCAAAGTCTCCTCTACTTGACCGCAACCCTAAGATCCCGTTCGCTGTTCCGGCTGTCTTTACCCCTCCTGAGAACATGAAGACGCTTGAACAGAGCCTTGTTAACCCTATTCCGGGCAACAGAAACGTGTACATCCGCGGCCTTCATCCCACTACGGACGATGCTCTTCTGCTGAAGTATGCAGAGCGTTTTGGTCCTGTAGAGACTTCCAAGGCCATCATTGATTCGAACACTGGTGCTTGTAAGGGGTGAGTTATCTTGTAGTCTATAGCCACGTCTGAGAAGCTTCAATTAACATAACTCCTAGATTTGGCTTTGCCAAGTTTGTCGAAGTTCGTCATTCCGAGAACTGCATCCGCGGGTTCTATCGTCGAGGTTACGAAGTCGGTTTTGCAAGGGTAATCAACCCTCGCCGTCTTTCTTGGTGACTTTTAACTAACCGTTGGTATTAGGAGTCGTTCAACTCGCGACTACGAGCTGAGGGTGATGAGAGCTCAACCAACCTTTATCTTTCTAACCTTCCAAAGAACTACACTGAGACTGTAAGATCAATGATAGTTTCGATATAGTCTACACTGTCTAATAGCTATAGGAAATCAATCTCATTTTTGAAGGGTACACCATCTTGTCCAGCAAGGTCCTTCGAGACAGTTTGGGCAACAGCCGTGGTGTTGGGTTTGCACGGTAAGTTAATCATCTAGGAAGGGCATGTAAGTTTATAAGTCACTAATAATATTTCAGCTTCGAGTCACGCGATATCTGCGACGAGATCATCAACGAGTTCACTGGTAAACTCATTAGTCGTGAACGTCTTCCACTGCAGATCCGCTATGCGGACACACCCGCCCAGAAGGAGCTCAAGCGGGTGACTGCTAAGCGCCGCCAGTACCGCACCAACGAATACAACGTCAGTGCCTATGGTACGACCCTTGTGGGCATGAGCCCTGCTCGCGTTCTCTATCGAAACGGTCCTTATGTTTCTGAGTATGTCCCTATCCATTTAAATTGACCCTTACACTTTTGCTAACTGTTGTTTTCCAGTGGTACTCCCCAGGACAGTTCGGGTGGTTTTGGACCTGGGTATAGGCCCTTGTCTCGTTAGTCAAAGAAGTGCTAACTTGGATATAGACCCGGTGATGGTGTCGAGATCCGCGTCGAATCCCCATTAGTCGCGCATGGCAGCAGCCAATCATCTCCGGTTAAACAGGAGAAGGAGTAAGAAGTTGCGTGATGGCCTCTGGTGTTGTTATTGTTGTTACCGCCTATTTGGTCTTGTTTTTCATGGTTTCCGGCATCACGGCAGATATTTTGCTGCCATAATATTGTTACTGGCATGCGCAATCTGTTCATCAGCCCTAATTATGGTTTTCTGTTGAGTTTTCTTTTCCAGCTTCTTGTTGCACAGCTCGAACTTCTTTACTGAGTTTTAGGGACGAGACGATACGTTATGACTCATCGCGATGATAATTGGAGCATGATAGGTAGAAAGGTGTGGGCGTGGGTGTTTGGACCTTTTTATTTTATGATAAGTCTTCTAATGTTGTCCTTACTCTCTTTATCCAATGATGGCAGAAGTTCTTTTTGGGAGTTGCAGAACATTAGTGCAGCATTAATAAAAAATTGCGCATATAAACTACTAGTTTCCGAGGCGTCTCTCTCCTCTTTATTGTGAGATTGAATAGGTATCTTCCTGGTAATAGGTTACGGATTAGGTGTATAACATCTTTAAGAACTCTATAACAATTATGAGTTTGAGATAAAAGGGGTATCAATTAGGTTACTCGTGTCCTAGTAAAACTATTCGCTTATTCACGTCTTAGTTTCGATTGAAAGCGTCTCCATCTCTATCCTCTGGACGTCTGCTTCTTGGTCATCTTTGCCAGCATCTGATTCATCTGCTTCAGTATCTTCCCTGTCCTCATCATCCTCATCCGTGGATGCTCCATCATACTCATCTCCCGAACCGGCCTCATCTCCTCTTGTCGCCTGCTGCTCTCTGATAGCAGCCTCCAGATCTTTAAGAGCCTTCTTTGAAAACCCCGACGCTTCAACTGCAGCGTCAAGCCTCCTGGCACCATCTTTACCCACTGTCTTCTTGGCATCCTTGAAGAAGGGTCCTGGTTCGGTACCGACGAAGTGGAAGCGTCGCTCGAAAAATTTCTTCACGCAGTTGACGTCTCGGTCAAAGTACATTTCGGCATTTTGATGGTCCATTGATACCATCTGGGGAAAGTCGATGAGGATGGGAGTTACTGTGAATTTCTCCTTGCTCTCATTTGCCATGCCCTCGACTTCCTTGCCCTTGGCGGATGGGTTTGGTTCATCCCGCTCTTCTTTGATTAGGATGTTGAACTCGTTGAAGTCACCGTGAATCAAACCGTGCTTGGCCAGTCGCAGAATCATGGATATTAATTCTGCGTATAGGGCAGCCGGGTCAGGGACTTCGGAGATCTGGCGTAGGGGGAAGGCGTCGATGAAATTCATAAGAATAGTGTGGCGACTTTGCGCTATGGGCTCTGGTACGGGGAATCCTTCTTCCTTTAGAGCGCGCATAAAGGCGAACTCCTTCTCAGCGGCTAACCGCGATAGGTACATCCAACTGCCGCCATGGCGCTTTCGGAGGTAGTCACGGTTCGACTTGACGGTACGAAAGGAGATACGTCCTAATCGGTGGATTTTAAGGACGTGTTGTGTGCCCGATTCGTCGGCTACGACTAGAATATCACTCTCTTTGCCGACACCGATCCGGTTTCCTACACTATACACCTCCCGCCGGCTCGCGTACGTATGAAGTGCTAGGTAGTCTAGACCACCGTACGTCAACCGGTACCCGTCATACTTGGCCTCCTTGAGCCGCGCGATCAGGCCGACCTTGGCTAGCGCGGAGATGGACTTGTGCACGCGACTGCTACCACCGCGAAGTTTGGAGAGAGATTCTATAAGTGGGGTAGGGATGATTTCATGGTTCCTGCTGCCGATCTCGACCTGCCCAATTTTCGGTCAGTCGAGGAGCGGCTTTTCAAGATGGGAAGAAGAAGAGGGGTCGTACAGCTGTTAGGACTCGCCAGTCCTCTGCTGTGAGATGGCGCATGGCCTTAGTGTCGAGCTTCATGGTGACTGGCTGATCCTTGTTTGATGTGGGAGTTTGGGTACTATTATAAAAGCCTTTCTAAAATGACGGGAGTTCTATAACAGGTACCTAGGCGTTGGTTGAGGAGGATTGAAAATAAGAGAAGTAGAACAAGAGGTACATGAGATAGAATATGAGATGGAAAACCCCCACCAATTCTAACAAAAAAATACAAGGGACCCTCTATCTAATCTACGATAAGATAAGATCTCAAGTACCCTGATGTACATGTCCGGATGCCGTAGGTCTTATTGGATGTAACTGCACTGACTTTTTTAGAATTTTGATTGGTCTGATCGACGTCAATGATTGGGAAGGCTCTGTTGAACTTTTAGCGCACTGACCACTTTCAATCAGGCGGCAGAGCAGTCGCGTAATACCTAGCAAGGCCCTTCCCGCCTTGCCTTAGAGCTTCGACCTGACCTGCCACTTCAAGAGCTTTCATGTTGGGAAAGCTTATCCGCAATCCGTAACACGCAACTTGCAACCTTTATTTTTTACATCCGCTTCATCCACCACAACAACCTTACCGAATCGAAACGTCTTTCTTTTCCCCCCTCTGCCGTACCCGTTCATAGGGTTTCTATCATATTACTATCTCAGCTGTCTGGTCCCTATTGAATTAGTTCATCTTGGGAACGGCGTCTGGAATCTTATCCACTTGTAGTTTGTATTAGCTACCACATTTGCCCCCAGACGACCATGGCGCCGAGCAGTAACCAGCCCACGTCGGCCGACAAGGGAAAAGGCAAGGCTGTCGAAAGCCAACCTGGCGATAACAAGAAGGCCAAAGATGCTCAGTCTTCAGCTACTGGCAAGAAGGATGAGGACAAGGTCGATTGTGCGTCTACTCCCCGCCTACTGCGTCATCATCTTATACTAATGGTTATATAGCTACGGAGGACTTGAGCGAGGAAGATCAGCAGCTCAAGAGTGAGCTTGATATGCTGGTAGAGCGATTAACGGTATGATTATGACACTCCCTGTGCTGTTTATCTTCTGGAAGTGCTAACTCGGTTCGTAGGAGTCCGATGCATCCCTCTACAAGCCGTCCTTGGAGGCCATGAAGACTTCTATTAAGACTTCGACATCCTCGATGACAGCAGTACCAAAGCCATTGAAGTTTCTAAGGCCACACTACGAAACCATGACAAAACTTTATGACGAGTGGCCAGAGGGAGAAGACAAATCATCTCTAGCAGACGTCCTGTCGGTCATAGGCATGACCTTCTCGGACGAGGATCGCCAAGACACCCTAAAGTACCGCTTATTATCACCAACACAAGACATAGGGTCGTGGGGCCACGAATACGTCCGTCACCTAGCCTTGGAGATTGGTGAGGTCTACGGAAAACGAGTCACCGCGGAAGAGTCTGTCAAGGACTTGGTAGATCTTGCATTGATTCTCGTGCCGTTGTTCTTGAAGAGCAACGCCGAGGCCGATGCTGTTGATCTCATGAGTGAACTCGAGATTATCGAAGACCTCCCCAAATTTGTCGACGAGAACACCTATTCTCGTGTCTGTCTATACCTTATAAGTATGGTGAACCTCCTGACATACCCAGAGAATGAGCAGTTCCTTCGGACTGCATTTATCATCTACAGCGCCTACAAGGAATACACTCAAGCTATGGTGATTGCTATCCGGCTCAATGACCTGGATCTTATTAATAGTGTTTCCAATTCGACCAAAGATCCCTCGTTAAAAAAGCAGATGTCTTTCTTGATTGGTCGCCAGAAGAGCTGGGTAAATGTCATGAGAGACATAGATTCTAAGAAAGACGCGATGGAGATGGAGGAGGCTGTTAGCAACGTCAAGTTGGCGGAGTACTTCAAGACTCTAGGTAAAGAGCTGAACATTCTGGAGCCCAAGACCACTGAAGATATTTACAAGAGCCATCTGGAAAGTAGCCGAGTTGCTGGTATGACAAACTTGGACTCTGCACGGCACAACCTTGCCGCCGCTTTTGTCAATGCTTTTGTCAATGCCGGCTACGGCAACGACAAGATGATGCTCGTTGATCAGGATAAGGAGTCGTGGGTATGGAAGACTAAAGATGAGGGTATGGTCTCTACCGTCGCATCCCTCGGAACACTTCTCATGTGGGACGTCGAGACAGGTCTGGACAAGATAGATAAGTTCACTTATTCGTCTGAACCATTGATAGTTGCAGGTTCGATGTTAGCTATCGGCATCATGACCTCGGGCGTGCGTATAGATAGCGAACCCGGTCTGGCGCTGCTAGGCGACCCGGAAAAGCTCGAGAATAAGCACCGACTTATCCGAATAACGGCCATTATGGGTCTTGGACTTTCCTACGCTGGATCTCATAAGGAAGAGGTGTTGGAACATCTGATTCCCATTATTAGCAATCCCGACAACGACATGCAGATCGTGGCCATGGCTGCTCTGTCTTGTGGTCTTATCTGCGTCGGTTCCGCTAACCCTCTGGCGATCGAGGAAATAATGGGTGTCTTGTTGGACGATGAGCGCGGAAACGTTTTTTCGGACAAGTGGTTTAGATTCCTAGCCCTTGGACTCGGGCTTCTCTTTTTCGGCCGTCAGGAGGAGGTCGATGTTATCTTAGAGACGCTAAAGGCAGTTTCCCATCCCATGGGTCGGCCAACAGCGATCCTATGTGAAGTCTGCGCCTGGGCTGGCACTGGAGCCGTACTGAAGATTCAAGAACTGCTGCATATATGTAACGAGCACTTTGATGCCGATTCCGGAGACAAGGGCTGTGAGGAATTATTGCAAATGTACGCAGTCCTTGGAATTGCGTTGGTAGCGATGGGCGAGGATGTCGGGCAAGAGATGGTACTGCGACAATTTGGACATCTCATGCATTACGGCGAGGCCAACATTCGGCGTGTCGTGCCGCTGGCTATGGCTTTGATTAGCCCTAGCAACCCACAAATGAAGGTCTACGATACACTATCTCGGTATAGTCACGATAACGACAACGATGTCGCGATAAACGCAATCTTCGCAATGGGATTACTCGGTGCTGGCACGAACAACGCAAGGTTGGCCCAACTTCTACGACAATTGGCCAGCTACTACCACCGGGATCAAGAAACCCTCTTTATAGTCCGTATCGCACAGGGTCTTTTGCACATGGGCAAAGGCACCATGACGCTTAACCCCTTCCACACGGATCGGCAAATTCTTTCGAGAGTAGCGACATCCGGTCTGCTGGCTACTCTTGTCGCTATGATTGATGCCAAGCAATTTATCACATCTAACTCCCACTACCTCCTTTATTACCTTATCACGGCTATGCATCCTCGTTTCCTCGTCACTCTAGATGAAGATCTTAAGCCTTTGACAGTCAACGTCCGTGTTGGTCAAGCCGTCGATGTTGTCGGCCAGGCAGGCCGACCCAAAACGATCACTGGATGGCAAACGCAGAGCACGCCCGTGCTTTTGGCGTACGGGGAGCGAGCAGAATTAGAGGACGAGCAGTATATTAGTCTCAGCAGTACACTAGAAGGCCTTGTCATCCTTCGCAAGGTAAGGCCAAATTCTCTTTCTTAGCACTATTGATATATTTAGGATTATATTTACTGACATCCTAATAGAATCCCGACTGGGAGGATGGAAAGTAGTACAAGTCGGGTCGACTTCTATGACCTCCTGGTAGATTATCGTTCTAACTCTGACCTGGAGCAAGACTTGTTGCTCGTGACTCTGGACTAGCCACAGGATGAAAAAATGTACTAATAAAAACCACATAATGCACTTCCAAGCATCGCAAGTTTAGAGCGCGACGTCGCTTGGTCTCACGCATTAGATATATGGTGGAAACGACTCAGGTCCTTAGGACCGGGCTCGACGTTATATCGTTGGTAATGAACATGATTACCTACTTGCTTAATACCTTGCCCTTCTACGTAGACGTGACTCTTAAGTATTATATATGTTGGCCGAGGTAGGCATGTACTACCTAATATGCCGACATCTTTACTTCCTCGACGGCCTAGCATTTTTCGCCTTCTTCTGCTCCTTGACCACACGCGCCTTGCGAATGTCTTCCGAGCTCTTGATCTCCTTCTTACTACCCATACCATCCTTGAAACGACCAACACGGTTCTCGCGTGCATCGGCCACGCGCTTCTTGCGCACGTGGTAGTCGTCACGGTACTTGTCAGCTTCCTTGGGAGCCTTCTCCTGCTTATGTCTGTACCGCCCACCATTTTCCTCTCCCGTACCAGGCGCACCTAAGCGCGGGAGTTTCTTCTCGGCCTCGCCGACACGGGGTAGACGACCGAGGCGCTGAGCGCGTCGCCACTTATCAAAGCGGCCGCTTTGGAAACTAGCAGCGATCTTGACACCGCTCTCGCCGCGGACTAATCGCTTGCCGCCGCCGGCGGACTGGGCGCGCGAGCCGTCGTCGTCGTTGTCCCGGGCGACGTACTTGGAGGCTTTCTTGTCCCAGCGCATGCGGGCGCGAGTCGGGGCGCCGAAGCTCTTGGCGCCCTCGTCGTTGGTCAAGTCCATGGTTAGGTTGCGGGCTGCAGCGACGAAGTTAGCGGTGCTGCTGGCGGCGGCGGATTGCGAGTTGGAGCCCGAGTGGACGCCGTAGCCGCGCTCTTCGGCGGCATTGATGGTGCGTGGGGTGTAAGACATGAAGATGTCGGAGTCTTGGAAGGAGGAGGTTGGGTCTTTGGAGGAGGATTTGTTGTGGTTGGATATGGTGACTTCGAGGTCGGAGTCGGAGTCTTCGTCCTCGATGTTGGCGGGTTCAGCGTCGGATTCTACGGCGTCTTCCTGGGCATCTGCCATTTCCTCGTCTTCATCGTCGAATCTATCTATACCATCCATTTCTTCGGTCTCGTTCGCCTCTTCGTTATCTTCATCTTTACCGGATTTACGAGGACCGAAGCGCTCGCGAATGCCCTTCATAACGTCGGCCGCATCGTTTTTTCCTGGCTTAGATGATCTGCTAACCTCAAAGATCGTCTCATGTGGCTTGAAGCCGCTGATCTTCGCGAGCATTTCTGCACGAGCATCCTCAGCCGCTCCTAATTCGTCGCCAAAGATAGGGTGAAGTTGCACCCAGCCTTTCGACTTAATAATTTCTTTTGCTCGTCGGGCACTTTGGCTAGAAGCCGAATTACGTGTCCTTAAATAAAGCTTCTCAGCTTTCTCCGATACTCTACGCAGACCGCTGATATCTTCACTCTCCCCTAAGACTTTGTTAAGCCATTCCACGTTGGTTTCTACCTTGCTTCGAACCGGGGCTCCAACTGTAATGTCTTCTGAAAAGTTTGTAGCATCCTTGCCTTCTTTACCAAGGACAAGTTTCTTGCCCAGAAACAGCTGCAAATCTAGTAGATACGGAGCATCCATGTCTCTCACGAGACTATAACTCCAACCTCTCTGCCCCGCTCTCGCCGTACGACCAACTCGGTGGACGAAGATTTTGGGTTGAGGAGGGAAATCGTAGTTGATCACATTGGCAAGAATAGGAATATCGATACCTCTCGCAGCCACGTCTGTTACTACCAAAATGTTGGAACGGCCACGCCTGAAGTTTTCGACTTGCTCCTTTCTGGCCGTCTGGTCTAGGGATCCGTATACGTATGATACTGCGAACCCTGATTCGCCCAGTAGAGATTGTAGATACTCGACGTGATGTTTTGTAGCAGCGAATATAATAGTCGAGTGCTCTGTTGGTTTCTCTCTTACTCTTGGCGCATCTGATCCTCGCTTTCTCTTGTTTGCATGTCTATCAGACTCTGCCTGAACGCCCTCTGGTAATCCCGTGGGCATTTTGATAATATCATTTAGGATATGGAGAAGGGTACCTTCTTTCTCGGCACCCTTCACGCTAAAAAATGCTGATTGAAGATCTGGAGATATCTTTGTCTCGGCATCTAAGCGGACTAGACTTGGATCTTGTAAACCTGCACGAGCAAACTCGACCAATGAAGCCGGTAAGGTGGCTGAGAAGAGTAAGGTCTGCCTTGAGGCGGGCAGGGCGTGTAAGATCTCTGTTAATTGCGCAGCGAAACCCATTTCGAACAACCTGTCTGCCTCGTCGAAAACGACATACTGGATTGAGGATAAATCGAGAGACATTTCGACCTTGAGATGTAGGAATCGGCCGGGGGTACAGATGACGATATCGGGATTTGTTGTCATAGAGCTGAACTGCTCTTCCAAACTATCACCACCAACAAGAAGTACGCATTTGAGGGTCGTTCCGCGACTGAATTCCTTGACAACCTTTAGAGTCTGGATGGCTAGTTCTCGAGACGGCGAGAGGATCAATGCTCTTGCACCAACCGTAGCACTATGTGCTCTCAAACGTTCTATCATAGGAATAACGAATGCTGCTGTTTTACCGGAACCTGTTCTTGCCATACCAACGACGTCCTTCCTCTGCATAATTAATGGTATAGCTTTCCTCTGAACAGGGGTAGGAACCGAGAACCCTTTTCGCGTGATGGCTCTTAGTAAGTTGGCATTGAGACCTATGATTAGTTACATTGTCAGACAGAGTTATATAATAGTATGTTACATGCCGTCAGACGGATGTGTACGAACCCATGGCCTGAAAACCACCACCCTTCTTAACAGATTTTCCTTGAACATTACTGGTTTTTCTAAAAGAAGCAGCTTGTTTAAGGGCAATAAAGGCCGCGTCGCCATCATCTTCTTCTTCATCGCCGCCGCCGTCCAGGAAATCAAGGTCTAAATAGTTCTGTGTGTCATTCTTTTTGTTCGTCCTACTCGATGCGCCGGTGTTGTCTGTGAGCAGCGATCCTAGAATATCAACTTCGTTTTCGGACGGCGTCGGAGATACCGCGCGCGACGGCATATTGTTGATTGGCTGGTATACCGATATGCAGCCTACATAGATGTACGGGCGACAACAAGGTAATGCTGAAATTAAGACAAATCGATTAGGCAATTGAGTCTACAATCTCAGATTGAAGCTGTCGTGGGGTGGCTCAAGAACTTTTTTCGAAGTTGTAGGACCCTTGCTAATGTTATCGATACGCTAATGTCTGATAAGCATTTCATCTCCACTACATAACATGCTGCACGATGTACCTATTGTACAAGAAGGTACATACATAGGTACAAGTACACCCTTGTTTGTACCTATCGTATCGTAACTTCTATTCCTTATCTCCTCGCCTCCAGCTCCGAACCTCTTACACTTACATTTGATTTATTTACACACTTACATTGCATCTGATACTTCATCTTTCTCATACATTCTTTTTAATTGCTGGCTGCACTAAGCTAGCCATCACTCCCGGGTACATTCTTCTACAGGAAAGATGGCGACTAAAGAAGAGAGTCCTGTTGAGGATAAGGATGCAATTGATACGCTTGAGGCGGAAGCCAAGGAGTTCGACAAGGCAAGCTGAACCCATCGCATCCTCGTCGCATATTTACTAACATTATTCAATTTAGGATGCCGAGATCGATCGTATTCTAAAAGCTTTCCGTTTAGATGCGTAAGTTATTTTGACGAATCGCGTTTAAAAAAAGAGATAATACTAATATCTACTATAGCTACGCAGTTCTAGATCTGAACCCTGGTGTCCCGGAATCCGATATTAAGCTAGCCTACCGCAAGAAATCCCTACTTATCCATCCGGATAAGACGAAGAATCCTTCTGCACCAGAAGCCTTCGATCGTCTGAAGAAGGCGCAGACCGAGCTGATGGACGAGAAGCACCGGGAGCGGTTAGACGAGGCCATCGCGGACGCGCGCATGCTACTAATCCGCGAGAATAAGTGGACGGTTGACAGCCCGGAGCTAAAAACAGAGGAATTCGCAAAGAATTGGCGCGTGAAGACGCGCGAGGTCCTGATCGATAACGAGCTAAGACGGAAACGTCAGATGAAAGCCCAGATGCAGGAGGAGGGCCGCGAGCAGCGCAAGGTCGACCAGGATCTCGAGGACCGCAAGCGCAAGAGGCAGCACGAGCAGGATTGGGAGAGCACCCGAGACCAGCGCATTGACAGCTGGCGCCAGTTTCAAAAGTCCAAGTCCGGCGACGATAAGAAGAAGAAAAAGAAGCTGAAGCCGATTGGTTGAGTGTGGGAGAATCTAGATGGGGGAACTATGCGGTTGCACATATGCTTGCTTGCTTACACAGGAATCGCACGCTCGTCGACCCTAGGTCAGATGAATGGGGTGATGGATGACTACATACGTCATGGGTTACTACGTGAGTTCTATTTGATAGACCGAAATACTTATGAGCCTAACTCCCTTAGTGACATTGAGACCGAATTTTTTTCGTTTCCATCACAGGAACAGGATATCAAGGTGAGTTTGTACGTGCTTTTATGTATTCCAGGGTTTGCGATGACTGCATACAACAGACCCAGTAGTGGGACGACAACAGAGAGGTCGTTACCCCTGGTCTCAACCTGATTCTAAGACGAATAAGGGGCGAAGACGCAGCAGCTATCCGGATTCCCTCGCATCTCGACATAAAATCTATATGCAATAGGCCAACTTTCTCAAAGTAGTCATTTCGGTTTCGTAGATTAATACGCCTTACTATCCTGGTCGCCGGTCCCTAAACGTAGCTCTTTTGTCTTCCTACTAATGTGCCCAATTCCTAATTCAAGGTCTATGCTTCTGCTTATACTGAATGAATCTAGAAAGATTCATGTACGCTTCTTCAGCACGCACACGCAGCTCGGTTGATTTTCTCCTATCAATCGTCTTCACCATAGCCTTCACTATTGGAGTTGCCTCTTCAAAATGCTGCAGAAAGTTGTCTTTCCAGAAAACCTCTTTGTCCCATACCTTATACTCATCACCGTAGATATCGAACAATTGGTTCAGGGCCTCTACAACGTCTGCGGCCGGTGTCTCGGGTAGTCCCTTCACTACCGTGAGGAGGAAGATACCCATCTCCCGATTTAATTCGATCGATTCGACAAGCGCGAGTTGTCCGAGTACTCCAATACACTTGACGCCAAGACTTTGGAATGGATCTTCCTGGTCTGGATTGAGGTTCTTGGATGCGTGGTACAGTGATATGAACTTTTTATGCTCATCTCCGCTGAGGAACGTCTGACCATGCAGAGTCCTCGCGACAGCCCATGCGAGGCTCGTCACGATCGTAGCAAGTTCGACATCAGATGTATTACTCGAAAGTACCGGCGTTATTATCTGTTGCCAGATCATACGTGCTGTCGGCGTCCAAGCGTGTAATATGGCTGCATTCGATTTCTCGGCAAAATCAATACAGCTCACCGTCCAAGAGATGTTATTCAGAGCCGTTAAAGCATGACCACGAATAAGTTCTGAGGTCTCGTCGTCGCCACCATTTGCACGAACAATTTTCACAAGTTGTGGAACTGCCTTTTGGATAAGCTCTTTCAGGGTAGGCAAGTCATCAATGCCCTCAATCTCGTCGTCGCCGTCGTCTGCTCCAGTGACCATTTCCATGTCTGCTTCTATTTCGTCTTGGTCCATCTCTTCGTCATCTCCATTCTCTTCATCGGATTCATGGTCAGAAAGGTCCTCTTCGCTATCAGCTTCCATAACATCCGCCTTTTGTGCCCTTTTTTCTTTTTTGTTCCCCAACTCCAGGGTCTGCTGTAGGGTAGTACCGATAGATGCTAGTATCTCAAGAGCCAGCCGCAAAACCTCCGCTGGGCTTGTTGAGCTGTTGCCATTTGTCATGCTCCCACTTGATTGAACGTGCTCAAGTGTCTGAGAAAGCGTGGGGACGAGAACAGCGTCGCAAGCACCATCCTTGCCAGGAGTATGATCATTCCATTTCACCATAGGGAATATGTTGTGCAACACACCACAAGCTAAGACTGCCTTATAGCCATCGCCGCTCTTGAATGCGATGAGCTGTTTATAACACTTAGTGGTATTATCAGCAAGCAGCACATCCGCGAACTGTTTGTTGTCCTCAGAAAGCGTGATCATACACGAGAGGGCACTATTCAAGACCGGTGCGGCTGTGAAATCTAACGTGACGAGGGTAAAGAGAAACCGAAGTATTTGCTCATTGCGAGTGGCCGCATCTAGAGCTTCATCTTGTGCTTCACCTAGAGCTGACAGTATAGCAGTAAGTGACTCTGCAATACTCCAGACGAAGTTCTGCTCAGCTTTAGTGGTTTTGCTAAAAGCAGGACTTGTTGACGTGAGAGTAGCTGTTATCTATGTGAGAGTCAATAAATTATGATCGTTTGGCCTTTTTTTCTAAAGGTGTTCAAGTCTTACCTTCGCACAGGCATGCTGAATAGCAGTTAGAACATCAACTCGATATAGGTGGATACAGAAGTCGGCCTCTTCCTCAGCTGTAAGGATGCGTAGAATTTCCCATCCTGCTGCCCGACTCTCCAGACTTGCGTCGGTTAGAGTCTCACTAAGAAGGATATGAACAATCTTCTCCCGTAGAAGTAGTTTTCGGCATTTGGTATCCTGAACTATATTGGCGATGGCACCAGCAGCGGCAGTCCTATATTTTGGTTCGGTGCTCTGGAGATCCTTCAAGACGGGCAAAATACTTTTCTCTCTTATCGCTGCTAATTCCGGATCCGAGGGTGGCTTTACTGGTTTAGCAATTGGATCGGAGCGCTGACCACCTTTCGCCCTGTTACGGCGGGATTTGGCCATAGTGAAAAAGCAATAGGATTTTGGAAAAGTTTTGTTTAAATCAATGTCTTCTAACTTAGAAAAGGGGTTCACCAAAATTTTGGTAGCCTTAACACGTCGAAAGATGGACACTTACACGTGAAGCTGAATTTTAATTTTCGGGTAGCTAGAAAAATTTCCAATGGCTTGTATGCAAGACTACAAGGTGCGTTAAGGCTTAACGTACCCCACTATCAAACTTTACGATACGGATGTATAAAATGTACATATGAGAGCTTTATGTGGGGTTTATCTGCCAAGCTTCTGTCGCGGGGCTTATCGTAACTGACGGAGCTCTAATTTTTGAGGCAAGTCTGAAGCAGTCCCGCTGTCCCGCTGTCCCGCTGTCCCATCATATTAAACCTTTCAATAAAGTTAGGGTACATTTGTATATAACCTATACGAATACCCATGTAACATAACACGTTTTCTTCCAATATTCAATGTATTATACGTCTAGACGTAATATGTACCAGTCCGGTTCGCTGGAATTGTAAAGTAAGCTAACCTAGGACCCTTAAAGAGCAACGGGATCGTCACTCCCAAGAGCTTCATCGTCGCTCAGCCCCAAACTTCTATAGTTGGACACTAGACACTTGAGATAAACTTTTTGTCGCTAACTACATTTAATTAACCTATCTTTTTCTACGAAACCTTTACTCAATCTTGGAATTGCAATTTTGAGATGCGGTTTTCAACGCCTCTGTCACCCTTAAGGACCGCGCTGTGATATCCGCCTAGCTTGCTCATCTTCTGCTTGCGCTGAAGGGTTCGTGCCGAAGTTTCGGGTATGTCTGCGTGGGGGAAGATGCGAGGATTCTTCCTTAGCGAGGAGGAACTGGGTAAAAAGGATGATGACCATAAGCCCTTTAAGAATGGCACTGGCTTGCGACAGCCTAATTGGCATCCTGCTAGAGTTCCTCCGCGACGGTCGCTTAAACGTATAGCTATCGCGCTTGTCGCAGCTGTAGTCATATATCTCTTCATCAAGAATATACCCGACCTCGGCCCTAACGCACAGATGCGCCGTCCTAGCTATACCTACCTAGACGACCTCGATGCTGCTACTCCCAAGCGCCCGTCTTACGAACGACCTAAATCCTCCCTAACTAAACCGCATGCCCGTCCGCCGAACACGCCCGAGCGTAACTTAAATGGACCCGTCAAATTCCTTGAACTGGCGCAGACATTACATGCTATCGGTGGCACGAGGGGGACTATGGCGATTAATAGGAATGTTCTATTTGTGACCTCTAGTCTTAAGAGCGCGGCGACGCTGCTGCCGATCGCTTGCCAGATGGGATTAGAACTACAGAATTATGTGCATTTTGCTCTAATGAGTCGGAGCGATATCAATATACGAGACCTGCGGAAACTTAACGGCATCGACGATTCTTGCCACATTATATTTCACGGTACGATACCCGTAAAAGTTAAGATGATATGAACACCTACTAACTTGATTATAAGATGCGCGTCCCGACTACGTTCAGATATCGACAGACGATCGAATGGAAAATGCAGTATTTCGAGCTTTACGTGTGTATTAATTCTCCCACGGGATAGGCGCATTTACTTATGTATATTTTAGATCATATCTTTTATTATATGCACCCTCAAGCTATTTTTATAGATGGTTCAAGTGACGAGGAACCGTTTTTCCTACGGGCTGTACATCAGCACACAAATGTCAAGAAGAGTACTTTAATTGAGCTACCGCGTGGTTCCAGGAAAAGGCTTGAGTGGCTAACGAAGCTCGATAGTCAGGCTTTACGCTGTAAGATAATTCATCACCTTACCGTGCCTAGCATTACTAACCGTATTTTTAAGTGTGGAATAAAGTACATATTGATATTCTCATTCATGCAGTACCAGGCACTTCGGGGAGCTTAATCAGACTTCTTAGATCACTTAGTGCTGCCGACTATACTTCGGGTTCAGTCCCTCATCTCACTATCGAGCTTCCTCACGAGATTGACTATTCAACTAAACACTTTCTCGAGACGTTCGCCTGGCCACCCGCTCATGTCCCTAACCCGACTAATGCACGGCATCTTTCTCTCCGCCATCGTATACCTCGCAAGAGGATGAACGAGGAGGAGAGTTCTGCTCATTTTCTTGAATCATTTTGGCCGGCCCAGCCAGAGCTCTCACATATATTAGTACTCTCCCCGCAAGCCGAACTGTCCCCTGATTTCCTTCATTGTAAGTACTATACCCTTCTTACAGGAGTATCATGTTGATTAACCTCTATAGACTTAAAATACTCTTTATTCGAATACAAATACTCAGCTATTTCCACCAACCAGCACTGGGATCGCCGGCTTTTTGGCATCAGCCTTGAACAACCACTGCAGCTGCTGGATGGAAAAGGTTCATTTTCTCCGCCTTCAATACTACAAAATTCCAGGTCTAGCGACGCTCCACAAAATGAAGTTTCAACCTCGTTCCTGTGGCAAGCACCCACTAGTAATGCTATGCTTTTCCTAGGTGACAAATGGGTAGAGCTGCATGATTTTGTCTCTAGATCACTAGAAGCTAAGCAGGAGTTGGACCCTGTCCCAGCGCTCTTGTCGGAAAAGGTCGTGAGCATACAACATCCGTCGTGGCTGGAACATGCTCTAAGACTAGCCCGAGTACGCGGCTATTGGACGTTATATCCAGGTATTGATACCGCTAGGAACCTAGCCACAGTCCATAGGGAGTTGAAACATATACCCGAGGAGTATGCTACCAAAGAAAATTCGAAACCGCTATTAGCGGACGACGCAACTGAGGAAGAGATCGAAAACGTTAGACAAAAGATCCGAGCAGGGTCAGAGATTACTCTTGCCCCGGTGTCCCTACTTGATAGTCTTCCTAATAAAGGAAGCCTGCGCCCATTTGGGGACTTGCCTATACTAGCTTGGGATGGCCAGGAGACAGGTTTCGAAGAACTAAATTCCCTCTCCGCCAAGTACTCGGCCGAATTCAGAGAGAAAGCCGGTAACTGTGGGACAGAACCTGCAGAAAAGTTGAAGGAGAAGGAGCGTTTGTCGGCACAAGATCTGTTCTGCATATCAGAGTAAAGGATGCCGTAACAAGAGAGCTATTAAAATAGTCTTTGGGTCTTTGGGGCTTTGGAAGAAGCTTCGATATACCCTCAGCATCGTCGCCTATAAGGCTATATGTAGTTGGAGTTATTGAAACTACGGGAACTGGCATTTGATCGTGGTGTTTGGCGTACTTTTCCCGGGATACAGGGTACATATATTAACAGATTTATGAAGGCAGATCGTGTATATATAACTTCAGAAGTCAAATAGACAGGAAGACAGCTGGATTCGAAAAGAACGTAGTTATTCCTCTGCCTGTGCTTTAGTTATTACCAACAGTATAACGCAGGTGCCTACGATAGACAATGCGATAAGCGACATAATCTTTACATCTTATTAGCCCCGGATCTACTTAAAGACATCAGAGTAACACATAAAACTCACCGATTGCGTCCTCCAGCCCGTCTGGACTATGGCCACTTTCCTACTATACTTATCCAGAGTCTCTGCTCACGGCCAGTCATTAGCACTTTGTACGATTTATAGTGGAGAAGCTAGAGTGCACTAACTAATATAATTACCGAACCCGAGAATCAAGCAAGCCAGAGAGAGCAGCCAGAAGACGACGCCGAGTGGTTGGGCCATGCGCAGCTCAAGGGCTGAGGGCTGAGATTTAAGGTGGAAGGACAGAACAATGGCGATAGCGACGATAGCCATGTAGACGGAAAGCCGTAGGTAGGATAGGAAGGCTATCCCGGGACGGTCTTGTTAACGTTTTCTTCTTCTTTACTTATAATAATATAACTACCGTAAATGATAGATAACAAAGAATAACTAACTTCGCTCATTGGCGCAATGATCACGCGTGTCACTGCTCTCATTCTCGACAAGCAGCGGGCCGAGGATTGGCCAGCTCCAGAATACGTTACTGATGGATGAGTCGTTTACCTCGACCGGGCGGCTCAGCTCCGCGAGTGAGAGGCCGCCGCAGCAGGAGCGCGATGGCCGGGGATCTTCGGGGTCGGGTTGGAGGGTTGGCATTATTGTTTCTACTAAGGTGCCTACCTAGGTATTAAGTATTAATTAATTAATTGTTAACTGTTTTATTATTATTAGCTTGAAGGAGGTAAAGATGTTATGATTGGCGATACTGAAATGGATCAGAGGCTCCAAATGGTGGAATCTGGGGACTTACGCACGAACCAATAAGAAGCGGGGTCATGAACTACGAATATTATCCCCTTGGCTGGCATAAGACAGCAACTCCATAATTTTCAGTATTAGTACATATGGCTTAACGTCATTCATGAATATAATAGGAAAAGGCCTTATGATTAGTCTCTAAAACCGCAACCCACATATATTATTGGTCGATTCAGTACCGCACGGGCGTTTTTTTCTTTTCTAGCCAATCCGTATGTATTAATACTGAAAGTTATGGAGTTGCTGTCTTATGCCAGCCAAGGGGATAGCTCTTAAGCTTAGACTCTGGTATTTACTTATCGCCTACCTGCCTTTAATCTATGCAGATATCGCGCCATGGAAGTTCAAGTTACGTACATAGTATTCCACTCCCGTCTCACCTCATTCCCGATATGTACGCTTCCAGCCCACATAAGCAGCGCCATACGTATCTACCCGCTTGAGCTAGACCGAGACAAGACAAATATATGACGGCACACCTGAGGATGAACTCCGGTGGCGGCCAATCAAGCGGGGGCCAAGCCGCCGTAAATTTCAAAACTGGGGACAAATGGAGGTAGAACTGGAGATCGTATTGAGTCAACCTAGGCTATCGTGAATCTACTAGATAGTGGTTTATCGTAACGACTTCTTATGCTTTTTGTCTTAACTATCATCTTAATATGAACCAGGGGCCCTTAAATTATATCTTTTAAATAGAATCTTCCCACTAGAAAAAAGACTTCGCGCTTTGAACTTGATAAACTTTGGCACGAATATTGTTTCGCGCGCACCTCTTGTTACTGATGTAGCTGAGCTGAATTATCTTGCCTTTTTTTAAGTATATTATTGAAGAGCCTTGCTCTCCTTTAACTCACTTATAAGACGACAAGATGTCCAATTCTAAACCGATCCCCCAAAAGAAAAGGGGGCTAGGGCTGGACATGGCTTCGTCTTTCAAGCCCGCTTCGCCAATAGCGCAAGAGATACTAGCTAGTGATCTAGCTGAATGCTCTGAAGATGAGATAGTTGAAGATGTCTTCGATAATGGGCCCGAGTCCGAGTCTGAAACTGAAAGTGGACCTGTCTTATATACACAACCTACTGGAATGGCCTTTGGGTATAGGCGACCGAGCCTTGTAATCGACCCGGTCAACGAACCCATTCTTACCAGAGTCGAAAAGAGGCAGTCTCGCAATGCTGAACGCAGTTTGCTAAGAGATAACCACATCATTCCGCCTAAACATATCCCAAAAGAGCGGCCGGGGACATTTTCAAGGTTGTATAAGGCCATGTTTAGCACCAAGATTCGCAAATTGCCAGAGGATGACGAGGCCCCTAGGATCACGGCTCAACCCTCCGAGACCTCACCTCTACTAGCTGGTACTGCTGGCTCGTCGACCTTACACCGTGAGAACTTAAATGAGCAGTGGGATGCCGCGGTGGCCTCTGGGATGATAGAGACAACCTGGCAGAGGGAGGCCAAGACTATTGCAACTTACTCGCGATCGTTAATCTTGACATTTCTATTGCAATATAGCATCAATATCACTAGTATTTTTGCCGTCGGGCGGATTGGAAAAATTGAGTTGGGTGCTGTGAGTTGTAAGTTAGAATGCCTTGATCCTGTTCGTATTTCGACCATTGCTAATAAATCGTAGTGGCTACCATGACAGCGAATATTTGCTGCTATGCTCCAATGCAAGGTTTAGCCACAAGTCTGGATACTCTCTGCGCACAGGCATACGGATCTGGTCATAAGCATTTAGTAGGTCTTCAGCTCCAGAGAATGACTTACTTCTTGTGGTCGCTTGTTGTCCCTGTTGCTGTGCTATTCTTCTTTGCCGAGGATATACTCCTTCTTATTGTCCCTGAACCGCGATCTGCCGAGCTCGCTGGCCTATACCTTCGTGTTATTATCGCAGGTGTGCCCGGCTTTGTCGCATTTGAGGGAGGCAAGCGGTTTGTTCTATCACAAGGTTTATTTATTGCAACAACTTACGTCTTGTTGATTGCAGCCCCTTTAAACATCTTCATGAACTGGCTTTTCGTTTGGCACTTCGAGCTCGGATTTGTTGGTGCACCTATCTCCGTTGCGATAACGCAAACATTAATGCCATTCCTCTTACTATCCTATGTATTGTTCGTAGATGGTTCCCAATGCTGGGGAGGCTTTACCCGACGTGCTCTCAACAATTGGGGTAAGTTTTAACACGACATCAATGCAAGTATCGTTCGAGGTTGATTACTAACGTACCATAGGTCCTATGATTTGGCTCGCCTTGCCTGGCATGGTGATGGTGATGGCTGAATGGCTTGCATTTGAAATCCTTACCTTGGCAACGAGCCAATTTGGAACATCTTATCTAGCGGCACAGAGTATTCTGATAACTCTGACGTCAACAACTTTCAATATTCCCTTCCCCGTTTCTATTGCTGCTTCTACTAGGGTTGCTAATTTAATAGGGGCTCGGTTGATTAATGCTGCCAAAACCTCAGCTAAAGTTGTAAGCTGCCTACCTTACCTACCTAACCTACCATCTTAGGTATCGACCAAGCTTTTTTAAGACATATAGACTAACGAATCCAAGGCATTCGGGGCAGGTTGTATTATTGGATTATTCAACCTGAGCTTACTCGCGGGCCTCCGTTATCAGCTCCCCCTTCTCTTCACCAGAGATGAAGAGGTAATTGATATAGTAGCAAGAGTCATGCCGCTTGTGGCGGTTATGCAGGTTTTCGACGGCCTTGCAGCTGTTGCCCACGGGTTGCTTCGTGGTATCGGGAAGCAGTCATTTGGTGGTTACGCAAACCTGTCGATCTACTATCTTCTCGCGTTGCCCATCTCGTTTGCCACCGCTTTTGCACTTGATTGGAAGCTTATAGGGTTGTGGCTAGGAACTACGATAGGATTGGCCCTGTAAGTTCATTTATATATACCTCTAGGAAAATCCCGCATACGAAAGTTGCTAACCCTTATGAAAGAGTTGCTGCAGTGGAGTTTTGGTATACTTGGGTGTCAGACTGGGAGCAGTCGGCTCGGGATGCTGAGAGTAGGAATGCAGCTGGTTAGGTAAATAATATTTTAAATAATGTTTTAGAAGTGGTCATATTGTACGTGTTTTAAGTAAGGGAGAAATGTAATTGTATATGATTGCGAAGGTTCAGATCGAAAAGTTCCGCAGATCCCTAAATCCCCTTGCTCGATACTATCTTTTATCTTTCGAGTTCGTAGAGAAGATGACAAACGAAACTAAGGTTCTTGTCTAAGTCATAGTACGTAAGAAATTCAATACATAGTCTACAACAGATAAACTCAATCGCACAGTATGCACATTTAGATATGCTGTTTAACCTTAAATCAGCCAAGAATAGATTGATTGGACGACAAGGTAAGGTGCATTGCATGAGTGAGGCTGATAGTCTATCGATAGGACATGGATACGTCAATTCCATTATCATTGATTTAGGTGTGCATACTTGTGACCCGTGCGCTGTGTAACGACCCCTAAAAAAGCCAGTGCATGTAACAATCGAGGGCGGGGTCCCCATCTAACCCCTATTGCCCCAGGATTAGCGCTTAAGGTACTCTTTTACTATCGATATGCAATTCCCAACTGTATTTAATTTCGCAAAAGTGCTACGCGTCGCCCCTGTCCTTTTTCTGGAGACGAACAGAATATTCAATATACCACGATAATTCGGCTACAATGTCTACTACCACGACTGTCACTCAGAGTATTCCGACGGCGGAAACCCTCCTCCGTCTTTTTCCAGATATAGACACTAGCTCCGCCGAGCTAGAAGGTCACGATGCAGAACAGATTCGCCTTATGGACGAGGTATGCATTGTCCTCGATAACGACGACAACCCAATTGGAACGGCTAGCAAAAAGCTCTGTATGTAGCAACTCTATAGGAGATGGTAGAACGATAGCTAACCTTTGCAGGCCATCTGATGACAAATATCGACAAGGGCTTACTACACCGAGCCTTCTCCTGCTTTCTCTTCGATGATAAGAATCGGTTACTTCTTCAGCAGCGCGCGACCGAAAAGATCACCTTCCCTGATATGTGGACGAATACGTGCTGCTCTCACCCCTTGGGGATTCCTGGCGAAACCGGTTCTAACCTGCCAGACTCGGTCGAGGGTGTTAAGCGTGCTGCGCAACGAAAACTCGACCACGAGTTAGGCATTAAGAAGGAGCAGGTACCATTCGAGGACTTCCACTTCCTAACACGAATCCATTATAAAGCTCCTAGCGATGGTAAATGGGGCGAGCACGAGAGTAAGAAAGTTGTTTTCGATATTAAGAAAAAGATGAAATGCTGACAATTGCTATTAGTTGACTATATCCTTTTTATTAAGGCGAACGTGGATCTCGATGCCAACCCTAACGAAGTAAAGGATACTAAATACGTCACCGCCGAAGAGCTGAAGGCGCTCTTCAATGACCCAAAGCTAAAGTTCACGCCTTGGTTTAAGCTCATATGCGAGTCGATGCTCTTCGAATGGTGGGAAAACCTCGACTCAGGGCTTGAGAAGTACACCAACGAGCAGGCGATTAGACGCATGTGAAGCGAGGTTAGATTAACTAGAGGAAATAAGAGAAGAATCGGATTATTTTTTTATTTCTTTATTTGATTTTTAGAACTCACCTGAGAAAGGATGAGAAGAAGAACCTTATCTAAAGTTACATAGGTAGGTAGGTACCTAGGTACACTGCTTTTACGCGCAATGGCGAACTGCATATTTTCATAGATATCCCCTTATGCCCATATGCCATATTTAAAGCGAGAGGTTTACTTTTCAATTGTTTCAGAAATGCAAGACCCCGTTAATATCACATCCAATCATCTAACTATATCTACTATGTAATATCCTGATGTAAGATTAACTTCAACTTTAGAAGGTAAATAAGTTCCTATCAGTCAATCAGGGTATCACCGACTCCGCAGCCGTATAACAACCCCGGCCGATCCGGGGGGGCCTAGGCTATCTGGGCTATCTGAGCTATCTGGGCAACTACGCTATCTCCCTACCTATCTCCCTACTGTGTAAAAGGAGATAGGTAACCCAGTGCGCCGCTCTTAGGTTCACAAAAGCAAGTTGTGTCTGATTGATAGGATAACATTGATAGCTTAATAGACTAAAGCTCAAGCCTTGGATCTAGGATCTACTATGTTAGGTAGGGTCTAGGGTCTAGGGTCTAGGGTCCAGGGTCTTAGGAATGACTCTCCCCCGGAATAAACAACGCAACCGCAACCCCACGCCCCGTCTAGGGCTCCCACACGCCTGCAATGAAACACTTGTACGATACCTAAGTAGTCAAAACCGGATGGCTGTCAGACCTCAACGTTGAACCGACCGCCTCAAGCGCTCGTGCAGCTGACGTAGGTGGTAGTTCCGGGTTTCCGAACTGCTATCCCTCTAGGCCAGACCGACATCGAAGTCAAGCCGTCAGGTGACTGTTATATCATCTATAGTAGCATACCTAGGTAGGTAAGCTGCAGTCTGTGTCTCCGGGGTGGACGCTATGAGCAAACTTCTAGTGTAGGATGCGTGTAATAACGTGGGATCAGCGCCTGCAACACTGTCTAAAGCGAGGTATGCGAAGTATGCGAGATATTATCAAAGCCGAATCACTACGGCATTCATACCCAATGAAACTCACACCCTTACCACACCTTAGCAAAGATGTTTGCTCCGTACCAATGGGCAAGTTCCCAAGCCCTCCCACACACCAACTCCCGCGCACGAGACTGGTGTACAATGTATGCAGACAGGTCTGGCAACTCGAGATCCCAATGTGTTGGGTCTGACGCACTGTGACTACTAAACTACTAAACTAAGAAGCCGACACACAGTTGTATGGTGCCCAAATATAGTGTCCAGATATAGTGCCCAGACGGCCGTTGCCGTTATCCGCCCCCTACCGGCCGACCAATAAACCAAGCTGATATGAGATTCTTTGTCTTCTACTACGTACTACGTAGTAGTCCACGAGGGGCATGGATAGGGAATGAATAGTGTCATACATCCGTTCCCCAGCGGCTGGTTGGCCGCTTGTGCTTCCATGGCTTCTGCGGCTCCCTCAGCTTACCCATCTACTATTCAGGCTCTCTGCATCTCATCCCACGCACCTCGCCCTTGGCTCTTCGCCTCACCCAACCATTGTACACTGTGCTTTGTGCTTTGTGCTTTGTACTCCGACTCGCCACTCTTTAAACCCCCCCAGACTCCCGGAACCCTTGATTCCTTCTTCCTCCACTTCTTCTCACTCAACCCAAGAAACTAGGAATAGACACAAGCTTAGGTACACTGATCGATCTTGCTATAGCACACTATCCCTTCACACGGGATTAGTACTTTCAAGACTCAGTTCTTTGTCACTAGCTATAACCTACCTTGTCGCTTCAATCTCACTTTTAGCTTCAATTCTTTCGGCTGTCAGACTCTTGGGCTCTTCGTCTCCCTTCACGCTGACGTCGATTGTTATTTGAATTAAAGTAATCTCAATTCTAAGATCGACACCCTTGTCAACTCAACATTGATGTCTGTTGACCTACGCACGAGCCTCAATTGCCTTGCTCATCCCGCGAGATTTATGCCTATCTCAAGAACGCAGTTGTCGAGAGTCCACACAGGAGATAGTATACAGAATATATCAAATAATAATATTTAAGGTGTGTGTGATCATAATTGTTCAGTTCCAAATGCCATGGTATCGCGACTGATCCATGTCTACTATTCTCAGCTATCGAAAAGGTTCGAGTAGACAAAGGCTGCCCAACATGGAGCACGTAAGCAACAGTGTTTCCCTCGTTGAGTTGAAAAAGCGTTCTCTCATTCCACAAAAATGGGAGGGCCAAGTCCGTGCTATCGGAATATCGGAGTATAAGGAAGCAGCGCTATCTCTAGCGCAGGCCTTTGCTACTGATGAACTGGCACAGTACGTCCTTGATACGGACGACATGGTCGGTTACGATGACGAGACCAAGTGGCGGCTCCACGTTGATATCTTCAACTACATCGTGGCAGCCCATTGCTACAAGGGTGTCGTAACCACCATCGGGCCGGACTACGAGGGCGTGGCGCTCTGGTGAGTCTGCCATCAGATCAAGAGGGGCGACCGGGGAAAAGAAAACAAGGGCTCTACGGCTACGTATACATGCTACGAGCCAACAATACGTAGCCTCGACTCAGGTTTTACTTGCTTCCCGGGGCTTACCTTGGTAAAAGCAAAGAAGTAAATGCACATAAATGTCAACTAACACGTGACTCTTGCGACGTACAGGATGCCGCCTGGCAAGGAGATGGACGACTGGGTAACCATCGTCCGCAGTGGTATGTGGAGACTCTACTATCAACTGTCTGCCGAAGGCCGGAAGCGCTACTACCAAGAACTCATGCCGGTGCTCCACGACACCAAAGCCGAGGTCATGGGTGACAGGGACAACGACTGCTACTACCTAGTATATCTGGGCACCAAGCCCAGCGGCCAGCGTAGGGGCTACGCGAGGAAGCTCATGGAGCAGATGGCTGCCAAGGTACGTGTTACAATATGACGAAATAAAGGGAATATTAGGAGATATAAAAACAACTGAACCTTCTCACCTTGCGATGCGGTCTTACCAAGTCTCAACTATAAATGTCTACCGATATGCTGATTCTGTATAGGCTGACGCCGAAGGTCGAGCCATGTACCTCGAGTCCAGCTCGGAGAAGAACACGTCGTACTACAAGAAGTTCGGCTTCGAGTTCAAGAAGGACATCTACCTCGGTATCGATTGCAAGTCGCCAGTCCGTCTGAGTATCATGGTCCGCGAGCCGCAGAAGCTATCCAAATCGATCCCCATCAAGCTTAACCCCGGGTTCAAGAAGATGTAAGGATTGTCTAGTGGATGAGACTGCTTCTGCTACCACCGCCTTTTTTGCCGCTGTTGTTGTTATTACTGATGAAGATGACGCCGAAGTTGATAGGAGTCGATGAGTTATGATCTAGCTTGCGATGTGAAATCACTCGATTTGCTGAAAGTCCGAGTTTCCGTTTGCTTCTTGATTCTGCTTACTCTTGCACTCTTTGCTTCTAGGGTCCTCGTGGGGTGGAAAACCCCAGTATTACTTTCTCACACTCTTTACTTGATAAAATACTAGGGAATCCTTTACTTCTAGAAATTTACCACGTTTCCGCCTTACTAGGCCTTTCGGCGCTGCCCGCGTTGCGGTTACGGGTGCTTCGGCCTCGTCTAGTTTTGTTTCGGATTGGTATGTCGCTACTATTCACTTTTTAGGGGGAGATTAGGGGGTGCATATTATCTTAAATTCTGGTTCCTCGTTTTAGGTATCATTAGTCAATCCTTCGTATCTAGGTAGATAATCTTAATCTACACTAGAAAGCATTCATTATACATGTTGGTTCCATTCTTAGCCAAACCCATGTGATTAATGTCTGTCTTGTGCCTTATAATCTTTATCATGCCAACAACGCCGGAACGTGACATGCAGCAAAATTTTAGCCTCGGTAACAACTCGTTACTGAAACTAAGTTTCTAGAATCCTTCTAGGACGGCATATGTCTCGTCGTCGAGAGTAGTGTAGATCTTGCCGTGGCCTAGCAGCTCTTCGGCAGCACCCATAACATCCTGAATCGTCATACCTGTCTCTTTAGCTATGACGTGCATGTGGGTGCCCTCCCCGCTCTTCGACTGGTTGAGGTATTGGTACATCTTTCGTGCTTTAACCGATGCGCCTTGTAAGAACATGGCATCGTTGTTTTCTACAAACATGCTATCGTCCTCGGCGGCATTTCCATCGCCGCCACCACCGCCGCCTAACGCACCACGGGTGAAGAACAGGTGCACGTAGGTAGCCTCGAGCAGGTGGTAGTTGACCTCGTTGAAGTCGGTGACGGGCTTGATGACGTGGACGCCGACGTGGCGCTTATTACCAAAGCTGCGGAGGCGGCCCCAGACGCGGACGTACTGCTCCTCATGGAAGGGGTTGTGTGTGGCGTCATCCTGGCGGTCGGCGTCGAGCCACTGCTTGACCTCGATGATGCCGGTGCCGTCGTCGAGGCGGTAGGTGATATTGGTGGTCTGGGGGCTGATCTGGCGGACCATGCCGACGAAGGTGACCTGGGAGACGTCGGCGCCGTCGATCCGGAAGCTGTTCTCCCGGTTGAAGGACTGCTCCGCATCGATGATTTGTTTTACCGTTACCGGCCGCAGCGAATCTTCGCTCACCGTGTTGGCCGCTTGGCTTCCGCTCTGAGAGCCCCCGAAGAAACCACCGTCGTTGCCGCCGGTCGCGCCGTATCCGCCGTAGCCTATATGGCGAAGTTAATATTCATGATATGCACATATATATAAATATATGTATATGTTATATGGATTTATACTGAGATCTTATGGCGGACACGTACTAGTCATTGTTTGTGGTATAAGGCGGTGTCTTGTGGAGGAGGTGATGATGATGTGAAGGGTCTAGTCTAGGAGACGCGTTTAAAATGTCGAATTACGCGACTTGAACTTTTTAATTGATTTCTTTTATTTAACTCTTAACTGGTTACGCTAAATCGCGGGGTAGCTTGTGTTAGGTGGCCTGCTGTGGCTTGTGTCGTGTAATGGCCTAACAGCCTCAAGGTTAGGACCTCAGGTACCTAAATGATGTACTTACCCGGTATTATGTTATTAACTTTCTATATACCTCATATGTAAAGTCGCAATACAGTAAATTTCACACTGTCCAATAGATAAAAATAAATAAATCAATAAATGCACGAATAGACGATAATTAGTCAGAATGAAGATATCACACATTATCACAATGCCATCGAACCGTAGAATCTTGTGATGGTGGAGTCCTCGGCTTCGATACGGATGATATCCGGGGTTCTGGCGCAGCGGAGATGGACCTCGGTAAGTGCTGTTCTGGGATTGCTGTTCTGTTGGATGTACCTATGTAAGTCTACCCGCAGCTTCTGGAAGGAACGGTACCCCTGAATCAAGACCTAAGCCAGCTGTGCTGCAGCCCGAGCTACGTAGCCTACAGGGTTGATTTAGGTTAGTTACAGTGCATGAGAACCTTCTACCCGTTCTGACATCAACATTTATGATTCCCACATGCACGCACCTCCATACCATCCCATTACCTCCCCAACCGAACCGACCCGTACCGAAACTGAAACTGAAACTTCCTCTCAATCAACTACGAGTTAGCGACTAATTCGCCGTCTCGTCTGCTTCTTTGTGCGACGTAGTAGCAGTACGACCCTCATCTTTAAAGTTTATTGCTCTTTTTCCTTTGGCCAATCGATCGCAATCCAAAGGGGAAACACGTCAACATGGCGCAATCAACAGCTATGCCTGTGATCCCCTTGGGCAAGAATAATGTTCTCTTCCCCGGCTCTATCATTCGAGTACCCGTACATACAGACCGCCCCGACATACCCGCCTTGCTTTCGAACGTCTATGCCCGTGCTTCCAAAAACTCGAGCCGGGTCGATCAGATCCCCGTTATCTGCGTACCCCTTAACTCGCCCATGTTGAATTCTCGCGGCCAGGCACTTCTAACGGAGAAACCTATCAACTACGAGGAGCTTATTACTGCGAATAATAGCAGCATTAAGAAGGACCGATTATTTGCCTACGGAGTATCTGGAAGAATCAATGCGATTCAAGGACAGAATGGTGCCGAGTTCAACTTGCTTGTGCAAGGAGTCTCGCGCGTATCTATTGAAAAGATCACACAAGAGCGTCCCTTCTTTGAGGCAAAGGTGTTCCCTCACACGGACCAGCTCGATGCCGAGGAACTCAAGAAGCCTTCTTATCAAGAGCTCTTTGGTACTCTGAAGCGGCTGTCGCGGGAACTGGTGTCCTACCTTCGTGTATCGGCTTTTCTGCTATCCAGTGGTACCGCGGGGCTAAATCCTCTCCTAACGCGGAGGCTCGAACAGCTCATTGCTAGGAAAAATCCTAGCGAGGGAGGTTCGCTAGCTGACTTCATGATGAACGTGGTCGATACATCCTACGAGGAGAAGCTCCAAGTTCTCGCCGCTCTTGACGTTGCAACCCGTATGCAAAAGGTTATTGAGATACTTGACCGCCACGTGGAGGACCTAAAAGGCCACATCAAGGTTACTACTATTAGTAGTGGAGCTATCCCTATCCGTATCGACCCAGACGACATAGAGAAGATAAGAAACAGACGGAATATCAAGCCACAGCTACCAGGGCTTAAGCCTCCAGCTGGTCTTAATCTTGGTGGTGGATCACCGTTTGGCATGTTTGGCGGGGGATCGGGCGATCAGCAGGATTCGGACGACTTACAGGATCTCGAGAAGAAGATCGCGGATGCCAAGCTTCCACCAGATGCTGCAATGGTGGCCGAGCGCGAGTTGAAGCGGTTAAAGCAGATGATGCCAGCACAGGCCGAGTACCAAGTTGTCAGGACGTATCTCGAAACTTTAGCCGAGATACCGTGGTCTGTCGTTACAGATGATCCGATTGGGGTTGGCACATTGGAGACTGCAAGGAAGCAGCTTGATAATGACCATTATGGAATTGAAAAAGTGAAGAAGCGCCTACTATCATACCTCACAATTGTGAGATTGATGCAATCAGCCAATAAAGCAGTAGAACATCAAATCAAGCAAGCCGAACAGGAAGTAGCCGACTTGGAGTCTACCAAGGACAATGGAAAGGACGCCGCGATCATCGATCCCGAACTGGAAGAGAAAATAAAGGCCAGCGGTCTTAAAGTTCAAATGCTAAGGAATAAGCGACAAGTCGAAAAGGCGCCTATCTTGCTCTTGGTCGGCCCTCCTGGTGTCGGCAAAACTAGCATAGCCAAATCTATTGCTACGGCCCTTGGTCGTAAATTCCACCGTATCTCGCTCGGTGGCGTCAGGGATGAGGCGGAAATTCGAGGACACCGGAGAACATATGTCGCCGCGATGCCAGGTCTGATCGTACAAGGCTTAAAGAAAGTTGGCGTGTCCAACCCGGTTTTCCTGTTGGACGAGATAGACAAGCTGGGCATGTCTAACCATAACGGCGACCCTGCTGCGGCGATGCTCGAAGTGCTCGATCCCGAACAAAACCACGCATTCCATGATCATTACATCAATACTCCAATTGACCTAAGTAAGGTACTATTCATTGCTACTGCGAATACCCTTGACACCATCCCTGGTCCGCTACTGGATCGTATGGAAACTCTGGAATTCTCCGGCTATACCACGCTTGAAAAGCGACATATCGCGTTACGACACCTTGTACCCAAACAAATTAAGGTAAATGGACTCTCGGAAGATCAGGTGCGCTTTAGCGAGGAGGTAGTATCAAAGATTATCGAGTCGTATACCCGTGAGGCAGGAGTTCGTAATCTTGAGCGAGAAATTGGTTCCGTCTGCCGCGCGAAGGCTGTCGAATTTGTGGAGGCCAACGATCGCGGCCAACCAGAGACATACCGTGCAGAGGTTACGGTTGAGGACCTCGAATCCATTCTAGGCATAGAGAAGTTCGAAGATGAGATAGCAGAGAAAACCACCCAGCCGGGTATAGTTACGGGACTTGTTGCTTATAGCTCTGGGGGAAATGGAGGCATCTTGTTCATCGAAGTCCTCGATATGCCTGGCGATGGCAGCGTAGAGCTTACGGGCAATCTTGGAGACGTTCTAAAAGAAAGTGTCAAAGTTGCGAGAAGTTGGGTTCGCAACCATGCGTATGAGTTAGGGTTGACCCAAGATCCTACGGAAAACATCATGATGAAACGCAGCTTGCACGTTCATTGCCCATCCGGAGCCGTACCGAAGGATGGTCCGTCAAGCGGAATGGCTCAGGCAATTGCACTTATATCACTCCTTTCTGGACGACCTGTCCCTCCAACAATGGCTATGACTGTAAGTTGAGCAAAGTTCCTACATATCTATCGGCGAGATACTAATGCTTGTGATAGGGCGAATTTCAACTCTCTGGTCACGTAAAGAGAGTCGGGGGAATAAAGGAGAAGCTAATCGGAGCATATCGCGCTGGGGTTAAGACGGTATTGTTACCGGCACAAAACGAGAAGGACGCGAGAGAAGTACCATCAGAAGTAAGAGATGGACTAAACATTATCTACGTCAGGTATGTATTTGCTATACCGTTTCCTAATTCACCCTTCGCCCTATGATTTTCCATCTAGCTAACTAAGATTCTTTCAGTCATATTTGGGAAGCCATCCGTCACATCTGGCCTGATGTAAGATGGCCCGAGGAGAGCAATTTTCCACCGGTGCAGTCTCGCCTATAGTCATCTATACTTTTCAGTATCTTGTTTATATCTCCAGCCTGTATCTCCAGCATGTACGTCATTATACGGCGTTGGGTAGCATTACTTTAGTGAGGACCATCTTATCTCAAATCTCAGGGGGGCGTTGAAAAATAGTATATTTCTAGATATGGTTAATAGATGCATCATCTGCAAAGTTGCAAAGTTCCACGACGTTAGCGCCCTCCTTCATCAAGCGCAGATTACCTGTTCAGTGCGGGTTTTTCGTCTTATTTATCGCTTTGCCACGATCGTACCGGATCAGTGTCGGTAGATCTGACGCTATAATACGGCCGGCACCCCAGACGCAAATTGACGTCGCAGGACGTTTCCTGTCGTCCTCCGCCGCATCGGGCCACCAAAGCCACCAGATCGCTGTGAGACCTCACACGGCATAGCCCCTTCGCCGGAAGAAGCGAGTATATGACCCGCCACAAACATTCTCGACGTTCTATCCCCAAAGTTGGGGCGCACGAGATTATATGCCCGTGTGAGACAAGATGTTTCGTGCTGCTATCCTGGCCCATCCCAGAAGATTGGCCGAGGTCTCTACTTCTATTCCATGTCTCTGGCGCCATTATTATTACGCAGAGTCTTATTACGTACCGCGGAAATGGTAGGCCGGGTACGTACAGCTCTCCCCGTCAAGGGTTATGGATATCCCATCTGTCGGAAGATAAACGCGGAGAGACACAGGTAGACGTTCAGATAGACGGGCTCGGTAAGACTTGCATGTCTTAGTGTTGCAGTCTGCAGTCTTGTGTGTGGTACGCAGAACAGGATAAGCCATTGCATGACCTCGAGTCGAGTCGTACTTGTGATATCATCGGCCAAAAGGTTTGGTTCTAGTGGAGCTTTGACACTTGATACCGTGTAAAACATCTATCTATATTCCAAAAACTTCCCTAGGATTTCTTTCGTGCCTGTCTATGTTTCCAATTCGAGACATGATAGCCACCTAGATGGACAGGGCTCCATTCGTCATAAACAGGGATTACATGACTATGAGGCCCATTTGTCGACGCATTTGGGATTGTCATATCATGTCATGTCAAGCTTGGTCCCGAGACAACTCGCCTAATTCTTTTCTCCTACCCGGTAAATGGGCAGGGAGGGGTGGGGAAAAGGGAAAAGGGAAAAGGGAAAAGGGAAAAGGGAAAAGGGGAAAAAAGATCCGGTCCCAAGCAAGCGAGCACCCGCTTGAACCCGCGTCCCTGGCGCGCATTTTTCCCCACGTACGTACATTCGGTACGTACGCACAGAGCGCAAATCACCACACACGGCCGTAAGCAAAAAAGGAGATTATAGGATTGGGCCTGGGAGAGACGAACGAACGAATCCCCGGACCCCCTGGCCTGGTTGGTTGGTTGGTTGGTTAGCTACTACGGACGGACCACAAGCTAACTGCGCGGTTACCGAAGACCTGGGAAACCCGCGCCAGCGGGACAGATGTCGGTTAGCCGATTTGTGCGACGTGCGAAGAAAAAACACAACGAGAAAAGGGAGGGGAATAAGGCTAAGGCTGGTTGGTTATTAGCTTCACCGAATGGATGGTACGGTCTGCTTGGGAACGGAACCCTTGGAGAAGACAAAGTGAAAGGCGGGGATTTGAGAAAGAAAGAAAGTTAACTTATTTAGTCTGGGATCCCATGGTCGAGGGACGCGAGCACTCAGGTACACGATGTCATACCGAAGACTGACTGTCGAGCGGCGAACGCACGCGCGCCATATCTGTTTATCTGTCTTCCCCTTTTTGTCTACGGTGTCTGGCTAGGTAACCAGGTATTCTGTGCTATGCTGTGTACCTAATCCGTGCCTCTTGTGCGTACTCTGTGTCGCAAACCTTTGTGGAGCGATGCTTCGTTTCAGGTCGAGGTCACGAAAGGGACGATGGTTCGTCCGTTGGTTCATTTGCAAGGGGCGCTTGGGGGTTCTTTCATTGATACTCACTCCTCGCTCTTATTACCATTACTCCTATTTTCGTAGATGGTTTCCTGCTCGTACAAGATTACTTACATTTAGATATGTTTGATATTGCAGCCAGTCACTCTATTTTCAAGCCACCTGACTCTATCTACCTATCCGACGTATACAGCACTCTCTCGCCGTGCACCGTGCAGTCCGCCCGAGGTCCCAGTGAGATGGAAGGGAGACGGCCGGACATATGAGGAGCGGGCGGGACGATACCAACCAACAGCAACGGTTCTAAATCACGATTATGTCTCTGGCATCAAAATTCTCCTATGCCCGTTTCCACCAACCCGTCTTCCCGTCCGTCTCTAGTCCCCAATCCGTGCGCTCCCACCAGCCGCATCGCGAGACACGGGGGTTCCCTTATGTCTCGTCGACTGGATCGCGGGTGCCTGCAGGCCTTGGGATCAGCGGGGGTTTTTCCCTTCCCTTTCCCCTTTCCCCTTTCCTCTTCCCCCCTACTTGTTTGCTTGCTTATCTTGCATGATCTGATTTGCCGTGCCAGTGCCTTGGGCCGAGTCTACCGGTGAATTGGGAGAAACACGCGTGCACGCATGCGACCCTTGGATATAGTAGCTGACCAAGTTTCAGCTTGTCTCGCGGGTGGTAATGTCTCTCTGTTTACTATAACGCCTCCATGGCGTGTAAATATCTACTATCTGTATCTCATCGAATTTGCTTACCTGGGTAGTTAATAAGAAGCGCCGATATTATCTATCAACATGTAGGCCATAAGAAACGACTGACAAATATGAGCTTTTATGGTGGGACTTTAGCGATAGGAGTTCATAAGCAATGCATGTAAGATCATGATTTATTCGGGTACTAGCAGTAGGATTGGTAATATCAAAAAGATATTAAGTTATTAGAACCATATATATATAACAGTTATACTATAGTAGCCATATGAAATACTTCAGTTAAGCATATTTTATTCTCACATTGAGAGCTCATGATATCCTTGCCTAAAAGTAAGAAACGAGTCAATACGAATCCTGTTAGTTTAAACTAACCCAGTAGATATAGCTCAATTCTTATAATATCATGGTCATCGTTTTAAAACTATAGTAGAGAACCAGACCGCTGGCTAGCTAATTAGCAATATTACGTCTCGAAAGCAAAGCCCGAGAAGATCACGAGGTCTGAAAGTCACTATGTCTCGATTAATTCTCCGGGTGCTCCCCGGTATGAGCGACGCCCCTCGGAGCTAATTGGTAATGATAAAGGCGTAGGAACTTATGTATTAGCACGGCCCCGGCGCTAGTCAACGATCCGAGGCTTGTCGAACCCGGGAATGGGGAACGGGTATAATATACTCAAGTGGGCCGCTATTTAAGAGCAAATATTCATATGACACCGACGATACACACGTAGGAATAGAGTAGGTTCCACTGGCCTAAGCTTAGAATGCAGTAGAGTCGGCGAGTATATTGGGTTCATTCTCGGTTTCGTGGGCCGTAGTCGCGATAGTGTAATTTGGTGTAGGGAGCCAAACTGCCGGGTTCGATAGACTAACGTGCGCAGGCCGTTTCAGAATCAACGCAGCGCGCTCACCAACTCTGACTACGCACGCAAGGACGGGGAATTTATCACAGCCCCTCGTGGCGTAGCTATGTAACTGTTCTAGCGGTATCGAAATAAACCGACTAACTGACTTTGATGAGGGGCCCGTCTTGAGCTATCTGATCCGGATAGAAGACCCGGAATAATGTTCCGCTTGCTCGTGAAGCCCCATGGTGGAAGATCCTAAGATGCCGGACCTGTTACCTCTTGCATATGCTTGAGCCTTGCCGAGATCGACTTGAATGTTTGGAGAAACTCTGTACCAACTCTGAGAGACAACCCGCCTAGAGACGATACTCACAACTACAATTTCCATCGTGTAACACTCTACGCCATCTTCCTTCAAGCCCGCAGGAGTCTTGGGTACAGCTTGATGACGCTAGCCAACCCGAGTTCTAAGCTGAATCAGGAAGCAGAACTAAGACAGAATACGATTCCGCTTGCAGTAAAGCCACATGCGGTGGACCAAATTAGCCGCTACTTGGTGCGGCTTGCACTAGCTGCCGTATCGTACATAGTACAAGCTCCGGGCAATTTAATAGATGACGTTTTAATCATAATATGCCTCTCTCTCCTTCTCATCCTATAGTAAACCTAGTCTTTCCTATAGCACTGCAACTGATGCCTCGCTTGTAAATTGGTATAGTTGATACTATCATCTGACCGTCAACGTCGTTAAGGGGAAAAAAATGAGTAAACCCTGTCATATGTTCTAAGCCTAGGGGTATTGCGAGACCGGCTGAATACCGGGGAAGTCAGGTTCATAGACACAAACTGGGTTAAGACGCCTCAGGCTATGCCACATGTGGGAGCACTACCAAGGTAGGTCACCTTCCTGGCTCGAGCTCGGAAGAAGCAATTCGACTCTCCCTGCATCAACGGACTAGACGGGCTTGACGCCCAATCAAACCCCAACTGCTTGGAGCCAACTCTGCACGGTGGACCAGTCCATTTGAGGGGTTCCAAGTATTTTGAGCGGTGACTTGTTGCGGGATGCACTGCAATAGGACAAGCCCCAAAACTATTGCATCGGGGAGATACTGAGCAAGAATAAAATATGAGACAAGATCGAAAATGTTCTGGGACAAAACGTGGTTCGGTGCTGCTCCTTTAATCTGTTTCAGGGTTCGACGTCTCGCTGGGTTTGGGGGACGCCGAATGCAACGCTGCACATACATGAGACCACGGTAAAGAGATCGTGCTAAACCTTTATCCGCTAGAGGAGAACGGGTAACCATACGTTTGGGAATAAAATTTCCAGAATGTGGGGAGTTCGGCGCGCCTCCGAGGACGGTGCGCTTCTGATATAGACAGGGCAACTATATTATAGAACCGGGGACGAGCTCCAGAGTCAGGTTGGAACGCACGATGTCACAGTACATAGATTGGATCTGTAATGTATGGGCTTAGGTTGGCCGCAGAGTATTCTTCAGTCTTCGGTTCGACAG